GGAAACGGACTCTTTTGCTTCCTCCAATTGAAATGTTGAACTTGTGGTCTGAGTAAAGAATTCTGGATGGAGGCAGTGGCTAGTGAATGAATGCCCAGCATGCATTTGGAAAGTCCTCGACAGATGCAGTGAGTTTGTGGTGACGCTTTGTACTTACCTGGCTCTTACTTGAGGGCTGGAAGGTCCTAGCAGCAGCTGGTCCCACACTGTTCATCTCAGTGGTTGACTAGAAGGCCTGAAGCTTATGCCTGTTCCTCTTTGTCTGTGTGCTTTATACTGTGAGTCAGTAATGTTGAATGAATTTCTTCTTATTCTGATTGTTCTCTCTCCAATGCTGTATCTCTCTCTTTCTCATTCTCTGATTCTGTTTCCTTTTCCCTTTACTTGTCTGTGTGCTTGTGTGTGTGTCCACATGCATATGGATGTGCAGACATACAGTAGGTATATATTTCCTTCCACTCTTTGGGAACTAGGGTTCTGTGTTTTGGCCTGTGGCTTGACCTGTATAACAGTTTAAAGGTGATGTGACTCCTGAGGTCTGGGATCCGCTCATGTAAACAGCACTCTCATTGCCTCTGTGGTGCCATTTGTCTGTACATTTGTATCTCTTTGACAGACTAGAAAACTGTGTTGATGACTGGTCTCATCTCCAGAATTATGTGCAATGAATGTCTCCACACTATTAGTTATGGAGGATTTTGAGTCCCTGTTTTGAAATTAGGAAATATATAATCACAGGTTTCTGGTGGGCAAGGACCTGTGGCCTAGTCTCTTTAGAGCATAAGCTGCTAGACCTCCAGTTCAGGCCAGCTGAGTGGACACAGGGAGCCAGGGCACCCTCCATCTGGATGCCAAACTTCTGCTGTCCTGGGCCAGGATAACAAGTTTCCAAAGCTGGAGAAGATCCCCGTATGGAGAATGAAGAAATTGGCCTTCCAGGAGTAGGGTAGGACAGGACCCAGCCTGAGTTCATGTGTTCCTAAAAGCCCATGTTCATGGAGTTCTGTCTTACTGGGGCCAGACCCTATTACAGGCAAAATCCACTGTATGAAAAACTGAAGTTCAAGGAGAAGACGGTCATGTCATTTCTGAACAAATTAGAGATGGAGAACACTGAGTTCTGTGAGAACGTCCAGGAGCACAAGAAGGAGATTAACTTCTATAGGTAAGTGCAGGTCATGGAGGCTACCACTTGTACAATGGCCATTTCTGCATTCCTTTGAACTGGAATGGAGAGTCTCCAGGTCTGGTTCTATCCCTTCTGCTTTTTAGCCTTCAGTGTACCTTGGGCCTTTTGGACTCAGTTTTCTTCAATCTTTAAGAGAACCTTAGTCCTCCCAGGGTTATCTGAGCATCCTCAGGAGCCTCTAAGATAACAAAATGAGAGGGTTCTTTTGCATAACTGGACCTATGGGGCTCAGGCAGGGTTTTACAGATGTGAGTGTGATGGAACACATGGATAGAATGCCCTCCCCTTACTTCTCCTGACCTCCAATGAGGGTAATTGCACCCTACTACTTGATGTTGCTGCAATACACTGGGCTGCCATGGAGATTCCTCTTTCTTTGGAGAGGCAGATAGATGGTGATACCTCTTTCTTTTGGGGAGACATGGAGCCTTATTTGTGTTTGGGCTACAGACATGATTAATTCTTACCTGCATTGGCTGTTTGCTGTTTGTGCAGTGTCATGGATATATTGAAATATATTGTACTATGTCTTCATGGGAACCTGGGTCCTGGTGGGGTAATGGAACCTATAAGTAGGAATGGGAGGAGGAGGTTGCAGGATCTTAATAACCTTAGTTTGTTTCCAGAAACCTGCAAAGTCGGCTCCTGTTGCAGTCCTCTGTTGTAAAGAAGTCATTGGTCAAAGTGAGGCAGGATTGCAAGGAAGTACAGGCTGATTCGTACCTTCTCCAACAGTACTTGACTGAGTTGAACCTGAATGTTGAAGATGAACAGCAGAAGACCAACAATCTCCCAAATCAACAACAGCAGGATAAGGTACGGATAAGCACCTTATTCAGACTAATACTGTCTGATATCATTTGCCCATTGAATCCATCTTTGCGTTGATCCACCGTCTTTCAAATCCACAGCCCCAACCAGCCACCCACTTCACGGACTTTAGTTCTTCATTACTCTGTCTATGCACAAGTATTCTCAGTAGTTCAACTCTTGGGAGACACTGAATTATTGACAAGTCTATCTTGCTACTCTTCTTACAGCGACAGCCTAGTAAGGGTAACAGGTGAATTACACATCACACACTTGCATGATCTTATAATAGGTGGGTTGGTATGCAGAGGTTTGAGAAAGTTCTAGGTCTTGTGACAGGAGTTGTGCAGGGGTCATGTGTCCTCTCAGGTAAAAATAACCTTGCAGAGAGTAAAGCCAAATGCAAATATCAGATGATAGCTTCTCATTGTCAGTTGTCTGGGTGGCATGTGGCCTTCTCCTTTCTCCCTGCAACTCAATCAGTTCTCTCCCCATTGCCCAGTTCATGGTTTGCACTGATAGAAGTCTGAGTGGCAGCTTGTCAGCCCATGTGTTTGTGAGTTTTGCTTGAAATTTTGCCCTGCTTGTACATTTAGCAGCAAGCTTTTTAGTTAAAAGATCAGTTTTGATGTCTAGTTGAGGTGGTGGGAGGCAGCAGCTGACATCTGACATGCATGTCCCCACCAACCTTGTGTCTTAATAACTGCCTTCCTCTCCCAGGTCTCAGAAACTGCAAGAGAGCTGGAATTGGACACATCCCAGGAAGAGAGCCTCCTGCAGAATGAGTTGCCACCTCAGGAGCCCCCTGCTGAACTCCCTCCTCAACAACCACAGACTTCTTTGGATGAATCTCCTTCCTCATAGATCATTTCCACAGTGTGGATGGGCCCAAATTATGCAGCCAGTGAGACAGCCAGACAGATTCAGGGTCTTTTTCTCTTTCCTGTGTGACCTCTTGAGAGAGAACTGAGGTGACTACAGTACCAGCAAGTGCTGACAATAAGAAACTGACTGTAGTCTGTTCTGCTAAATGTGCAGTGAGGGAATGTCCCTTCACAATTTTTTCTGTTAAGACTTTTGGTTGAAATTTTGATTTGCATGGTTTTGTTTTTTCTTGTTATTTAGATATTATGTGTTTTTGTTATTGACTTTTATTTTGCTAAAATTTTTGAAGTTTACATAAACCTTCATACTAAAATTGTTTTTTAAAATTATTTCTTATGAATAAAAAGTTTATCTGTAACTCTTGACTCTTTTTTTAATTTTATTTAATCTTCCTTTTACACTCCAGATTTTATCCCTCTCCATGTTCACCCTCTGATTCTTTAACTTACTGTCCTCCTCTCCATCTGTCTCCCTGAAATGTTCCCCAATCTCCCCCCAAAATTCTACTCCACCAAACCTCCCCATTCCTTGGGGTCTTTGAGGGTTAGGTGCACCTTTTATGACTGAATCAATACCTGGCAGTCCACTTTTTGTATATGTGTTGGAGGCCTCATATCAGCTTGTTTATACTAACTCATTGGTGGTCCAGGTCTGAGAGATCGCTGGGGTCCAGGCTATATGATACTGCTTGTCCTCCTGCAAGGTAACCCTACTCCTCAGCTTCTTCCAGCTTTTCACTAAGTCAACTACAGTGGTCAGCAGCTTCTGTTCACTGGTTGAGTGTAAATATCTGTAACTGATACTTCAGGGTGCTTGTTTGGTCTTTCAGAGGGCAGTCATGATACAACCCTTTTTGTGAGCACACTATATCCTCAGTAACAGTGTCTTTCCTCAGGTTCTCCTCTTAATCTGGGGCCCCCTTTGGGTCTGTTGCTGAACCTTCAGCCAGACTGATGATCATCTCAGGCTACAACTCTGTCTAGGCTGCCTGTCTCTGGACTGGTGGTTCTCTCCCAATTTCTCCTTGCCTGCACCTGCCTATGTTGCCCCATTCAGAAGTTTTCTGTCTAAGGCTCATTTCTAACCATGGTCCAATATCACAGGCCGCATTGACTTGTTTCCAGCTTGCTTCTCACCACTGTATCCAATCTAGACTTACACAGGACTAGGTCATTTCAGGATCACTTTTTAAAATGTGTTTTTGATTCTCCCCCATCTTGGATACTTTCCTAATTTACATTTGAAATATTATCCCCATTACAGTTTTCCCACCCACCACAAAATCCCTATATACCATGTCTCCTACCCCTGCTTCTATGAGGCTGTTCCCTACCCAACCACTCACTGCAGCCTACCCTCCCTGGCATTCCCCTACACTGGGATAAGGAGCCTTCACAGGACCAAGGGCCTCTCCTACTGATTTCCCCACAAGAGAATCTTCTGCTACATATGTAGCTGGAGCCATGATCCCTCCATGTGTACTTTTTGGTTGCTGGTTTAGTCCCTGGAATATCTGGGAGTAGTGGGTCTGGTTGATTAATATTGTTGTTCTTCCTATGGGGTTGAGAACCCCTTCAGCTCCTTCAGCCCTGTGTTATACTCTTCATTCTTCAGATGATCTCAGACCACAACACTGAGCTTAGATATAGCCTCTCTTTCTGACAGCTACTGAGTCACATGAGACACAACTGTCACCCTAGCAATGATCTAGGGGCAGACAATATCAATGATATAAATCATTAAATGTCAGTGGAATTCTGGTCTGTAGGATTTAAGAGTAAAACACCAAAACTCAAACCACCACCACCACCACC